TAACGATTTTTGAAGCAATTAATCAAATAATGGTATTTAACAAAAAAAAAAAAAACTTTTCTAATTCTTTTTTTTTTTTTTTTACATTTTAATATAATAAATAATAGTTTACTTACTTAATTTAAATAATAAACAAAAAAGAATTTCTCATATTTTATACAATATTAATCACATGTAATTTATGCAAATTATTTATAACATTTAGAATTTTTTTAAAAAAATTTTTCATACAAAAAATTAAAATATTTAAACTATTTTAGTTTAAAAACAAAAAAACGAAAAAAAAAAGGGCTGATAGCATATTTTAACAGATGTGGCAAAGATAAGATAAGCAAAGTAAAAGTTTAAACATTCAATCAAAATAATAAATTACTTAAAAGCAGACATAACCATACACTAAGAGTAAGAGTAATGCTTAACAATTCAAAAGATTGGCCATTATTTCAATTGCTTTTTCATTTCAAATTGTTCCTTTTACAATTTGTCAAAAAAAAAAAAAAAACGAAAAAAAAAAAAAAGGGAATAAGCCATTCGTTTTTGCTAAAATATTTTAAAACAAATTTTCTTCATTTTTCTTCTTCTTTCTTTTCTTTAAATTAAATTAACATTCAGTGGGCATACTAGTTAATTTCATTTGTAGGAAAATATTATATTGAATTATATCTTATCATATTAATATTACTATAACTTCTTAAATAATATCTAAATTATTGAAAAAAAAAAGAGAAACATTTTAAAATTGATATTAATTAGTTGTTGAATTTTTGAAGAGAGAAAAAAAAAGTGAAATGTGTATTAAAAAAAAAAAGTTTCATAAATTTAAGAATTAATAATTCATTTAAATTGCTGAAATTATTTGAGAAAAATAACTGACCTAAAATTTCAAAATAATTACTATTGTTAACAAATAATAACGTAATGAATGCTTCATTAAACTAAACTGTTAATTTGATCATTTAGTAATTTAATTAACATAAAAATACTAATGGAAAAAATTAACTTTTTTTTTTTATTTCGATAACGAATAATATAAATTGAAGTATTATTTTAAAAAAAAAACCAGTAATAAATTAATTTTACATTAAATAAATAGACAGGTAAAAAGAAATAAATTTCAAAAAATCACGATTTTCTCAATATTTCCCTTTTTTTTCCTTTTTTTTTAAAAAAAAAATTCTAAAAGTCAATTCATTAATTTCGTTTCCAATTTTGTTTGATTTATTTTGTTGCAATATTTATTCTTTCTACCCTTTCTGAATAATAAATTCATTTTAGAAAGCAACAATTTGTAACTTATAATGTTGCTACTTGGAATTTTTAATGAAATATGATAAAAGGATTTTTTTTTTTTTAATTGAAAATTTAAACTGATTCTATTTATGTTTATGAAATGAATTGAATATTTTTAAAAGAATTATTTTGGTTGGATGAGTTAAAATTATATTTTTGTGTATTTGTATAAGTTTGCAAAATGTATTTTACATTTTTTTTTTTTTAATTCAAATTAAACCTAAAAATAGCATTGCAATTACAATTAATGATTCATTCATTTTAAATTGCACACAATAAAATGACCCCATTGATTGAAATACAAAAAGGTCATCCAAATTAACTGTGACAAGTTTTTTTTTCTTTTTTAATCAAAATACAATTTTTGTTAGGCAGTAAATAATTTGCAAAAAATTTTGTTTACACAGAAAAAAAAAATTAAATTTTGTAATTTTCCATTTTATTATCATTTATACAATTAATTATGCCAAATTCTTTTTCTTTCTTTTTTCTATCATAAATCAAATATTTTAAAATTAATTAATTTTAATCTTGATTAAAATTAGACGTCCAAAATAAAAATTATTTAAAAATCAACCTGATTAATTTAAAACTTTAAACAATTTTATTCATTTTAACACATTATGCATACATTTTTTTTCCTCGTTTAACACATTTCAATTATTACAAATTATAAAAATTATTATAAAAAAAAAAAATTTCATTTCAATTATTTAAAAATTCAAATTAAAAAAGAAGGAAAAGAACAAAAATAAAATAAGTAAAAAGCAATCGATTAACTATTTAAATAATGAGTATTACATTTCACTTTCATATTGAACTTTAACAAACAACTGTTAATGATTTTAAAATATCAATTATATGACTCATCATATCATATCATATCATATCATATCATATATTGATAGATAATACATACTTACTTACTCGATAATAAATACTTCAAAGTTTAGTAAAAGAGGAAACAAACCTAATTGCTTTCCTATCTTCTATCCATCTATCTATGTATATCATACATATTTCGATTGCAAAAAGGGATAAAATCGATTTCGGTTAGTTGCCCACCATTTACCCAACAAATATAAACCTTACCCCTTCTTCTCTCTCTCTCTTCTCCCTCTCTCTCTCTCTTTCCTTCCTTCCTTACTCTCTTTCTTTCTCTCTCTCTCTTTTCATTTATTATCTCTTTATAACTTCAATATATATTCTTTGCAAAATAATTCCGACGGATCAGTTTATGCTATCTTTTTCTACTTTTTTTTTTCTCTCTCTCTCTCTCTCCCTCTCTCTTTCCTTAATGAAAGTAAATATTTCTGATCAATTTTGAAATTCAGTATAGAAGTAGGATTAAACGTGTGCTTACTTTTTCACTTAGTATAATTCAGTATAGAAGTAGGATTAAACGTGTGCTTACTTTTTCACTTAGTATAATTCAGTATAGAAGTAGGATTAAACGTGTGCTTACTTTTTCACTTAGTATAATTCAGTATAGAAGTAGGATTAAACGTGTGCTTACTTTTTCACTTAGTATAATTCAGTATAGAAGTAGGATTAAACGTGTGCTTACTTTTTCACTTAGTATAATTCAGTATAGAAGTAGGATTAAACGTGTACGTCAAACTATCACGTAGTATGATGAAATAGTCATCATTGCAATAGGTTTATACGTATACAAAAGTAAATCCTTGTCGCATCATATAAAAGGTAAACTTCAAACTAGACAATTCATTCATTTTTTTTTTACTAATACTATTATCATATCATATCATTCTTTACTATTTTATCATATTCTGTTATCACATAGATTATTATATTTATCACTTACTTAATACATTCTTATCAGTTGTTATCTGATAAATGTTAATGCTACTGTATGTTTTTCAGTTGAAAGTTAGGTGGAATTTTTTCATTTCTTATACACATTGGAACGTGAATATGCATCACATTCAATTATCAAACAGTTGAGATGACCTTTGTTGACCCTTAAAGAGAGAGAGAGACAGAGAGAGAGAGAGAGAGAGAGAGAGAGAAAAGGAGGAAAAAAAAAGCAATGATAATAGTGTTATTGACGAATGCAGTATTGCTTTTTTTTTTCTCATTTCACATATTTTAATTCATTGAATTATCTATCTTTCAACTTTTTTTTTTTTTTCATCGTTTATTCTTTCTTTCAAATTTAATTCATAAAAAAAAATTTAACAAATAATTAATAATCGTTATCAAAATTGATAATCATTAATTATTTTTGATAAGATTATATGCCTTGCTGAATTCTTGATGCAATTATAAATTGTATGCAAATGAAAAAATATTTTCATCATAAAATATTCTATTATTTTCTTTTTCAATAAAATATAAATAAAATTATTCAATTCAATCAAATTTATCTTCGATAAAAGAAAGAGAAATTGATTTTTTGCTTTTTCTAGTTTTTTAATATCTTATCAATATTTCAATTATTATATCATAAAAGAGTCATCTTCTAACATTTTTCTTTTCTTAAATGCTTTTTATATATTTTCATTTTACGATTTTTATTTATTATATTACTTCTTAATGAGTTTAATTGTTATCAAATTATACTTTCTATATTTATTCAGTAATTGTTTTTATGAATTAATTTATATTTTAATTATCAAAAGAAAAGAAATAATATTTTTGCATAAAATATGAATTGCTGTTAGCAATGTTATTTATTAACAGCAATAAATAAATAAATAAATAAATCTCTGATGGATAAGAGATGATTGGAATGAGTGAGTGAGTGAGTGAGTCATTTCTTTTTCATATTGAGTCGTATCTTTTTTATATATTCATCGATTTTTAGAATTAAAGCGCCATTTCTTGTTTAATTTCAATTTTCCATTTTCATCTTAATGTATTAATCTATTTCACAATGCTTATTCAACACTTACGTTACGTATATTACGTGATTTTATGTAGATTAGATTCACGTGATGCATCTAGTGATAATGATTTACAATAGTAATAATTATATTGTTGAAGTGTTCATTCAATAATTTATTATCTATCAGATGAGAATTTCATTGCAAAAAATATTACTGTTAATCTTTCCTTTTCTCTCTCTCTCTTTTTTTTATTTTTTAAATCTTTTTCTCATATAAGTAATTATTTATGATTTAAATAGGTTACTAACATAAATCGATTGGAACGGATATGGAAAATAATTACATGTTTATATAAAATGTTGTCATAAAGAGGCATATTAATTAAAATGATATCACTTACTGTTTTCTTATAATATATTTATAAAAATTTAAAAATTTTGCTTGTATTGTATTGTAATATTATGCTGAATTATGAAATGAAAATAAATTTTTTCCTTTTCTATTCATACGTAAAATTTCTATGTTATTAAAGCTTTCTTTTTAAAATGATCCCAAATGATGTATGCTTTCATTTGCAAATTTATTATACATGCTCCATTTATGAAATATTTATGAAAATGTACACATCACATATGCATTAGTAATGTATAATATATTTATAATTTATATCGCATATGTATTATTTTTCGATCATTATTTCATTATTTTTTTTTTTATTTTATTGGAATTATCTTTTTTATATCCTTAGAATTCAGATAATTGATTTTCAGGAATTATACGTGTTATGCGTGGCATGTATCACTCGCAAAGGTCATTTGCATGAACAAGTTTACACGCTAAAACAAATTATTTTCTGAAAAAATGATGTATTTGAAATTACATCTCTTACTATTCTTTCTTACTTTCATCGATATTTCCTCTGCTGGTGAAGGAAAAGGTATTTTTTTAGAACAAGTTTATAACTAAATTCGATAAAGTTAAAAGAAACTGACAAGTGGAAAGAAAACTGGTATTTTTAATAGAGTTGTAAAGCAATTATTCATTTCATTACTGCAGTTGTCCATTTTTTGCGTTTTCCCATCGTTCTTATTCTTGAAATATTTTTTATCATTAATTTGAAAAACTTGATTTCTAATGGCTATTCGATGTTTCAAAACATTTTGAATTTACAACATTTTATAAATTTACAAATTTTAAACAAAAATTCTAATGCAGGGTCATTTCATTACAATTTTGACTCACCAAATTTCTCACCATTACAAAAAAGATATAAAAGAGGAATTGATGATGACAACGATGATGTCGAGAACACATTTCGTTTACCAAAAGACGTTGAAGTGCTAGAAGATTCGGTATATTTTTGAAATATTTTAATTTTAAAACGCAAGTATGATGTATTCTGTTATCTTCCAATATTGTTTTTTTTTTTTTTTATCTCAGCAACCAATCTTAGAAATTTTAGTTAGAAGTTTATCACATGCGGAGTGTCCTGTTTAATCGGTTATTTGCAATCTCTAATTATCATAATGCCATTCTTTTTGAAATAGTAGAAAAAATAACGAGCAATGTAAAGTTCACATGATATGAAGATTTCTGTGATATTTGTATCATTATATATTAAATATAACAAAACTGACATCATGAAATTTAATTATTTGATTAGAAATTTAATTTAAAGATTGATCATCAGTATTATTTGATGGAAATCAAAGTCAACAGATCTGATCTAATGAAGGATTATTACATCGACGTACCAGCAATGTTAGAAAGGCCGGGAACTGTTGGTAATAAAAGTCATTCATCACTATCGAATAGCTATAGAAGAGCCGTGGTAAGTAACATTGATTGTTCGGAGATTTTATGATGACATAAGTTTTAGTTTCTTTGATGTCAAAATGGTAAAATTATTTGCATAAAGGAAATTTAGAAGGTAATATGCGAATTTCATATCTTAGAGCAATAGCGGAAATCCTTATATCCAATTCACTATTTTTTTTTCTTAAATTGAAAAAGTTTTAGGCAGCTAAAATACAGTTCGATTTTCCCTTTTATGGTCACCGAATGAAAAATTTAACTATCGCTACTGGTGGTATGATATTAATTTACCAAATTATTTCTTCTACAATATGCTGTGGAAATAATTTGCTGTGCTGATTTTAAATTTACAGTTCCCAAACAGATCAGATAACCTCTTTCGTATCCTTGTCTACTAGTTTACCTTAAAATAGAATGATTTTTTTAGCACTGTTCTGTAATATTTGCAGAAAAGTGTTGACGTCCACTACGTTTGATTAAAAGTTCGAAATTTGGAATAAATTGAAAGCAAAATAATAGCACACAGACGCAAATTTATTTACGTCACAGGCTTTGCTTACATTGGTGATCAATGGCATAGCTGGTTAGCAGCCACTCAATATATTGCACCGCTAATGGCCAATTTTGATACACACGGTGAAAATGCTACAATTATGTACGCGGATGATGGTCAAAAGTTTGTCATGGAATGGCGCAATTTACAACTTCGTGAACAACGTTCAGGCAAGTTTTTAATGCACCTTTTAAAATTAAGACTGTAACACTTGTAAATTTTGTTTTCGAAAGGCAAAAATAGAGAGAGCATTGCGATGACAATAGTATGGATAGTGTGTTTGTATAATTGGGAGAGGTAAGTGTCATTAAGAAATATAGAATTATGTTTTAAAAAATTTTTCTATGCAGAAAATATAGTCAAAGATTTGAGCTTCAAAACTGAGTGTAAAATACTGAAGATTATTATTGTGTGTATTTTTAGATGGCTTTTTCACTTTTCAAGCATCTCTACACAAGAACGGAGATATTTGGTTTGTCTATAAAGATGTAAGCTATTGAAAGAATTTTTACATTTTGATAAATGTTATGGTAGTAGCATTAGCAAGCAGGAATGTGTAAAGCCCAATACTTTTATGATTTTTTTTCCTGTTTTATGACAGTCTTTTCTTTGCTTTAGCAATGTCTATCTTTAAGCGCTATTTTAGGTACCAATACCTGTTACAAACATCAGTGATTCTCACCACCCAGTGAAAATAGGAATGAGTGATGCGTATCTTTTCCATCATAGCGTGCATAATCCTCTTGCACCTATTTCGCAGCCTCGTAAGTTTTTCCTTTTTTTTTCTTCTGTTTTTTTTAATTGCAATATCGCGAAATAATACTACAAAAATGTTATTCTTTCCAAAAATGTTATGAATTCATACTATTTTTTCTTCAGCGTCGATAAAACGAGTTATTTACGAATACCATCGTATTGAAGTGAAACCATCGTTAATTGTTTCAAATACAATCGTTATATTAAAAGCTCAACCAAGTAAGAACAATTTTTGCACAAATTTTTTTCTTTACTTTTTTTTTACATTTCACAAATGTAACTTTTCATATTCTAGCATGCATACAATATCAAAGCTGTGAAGAATGCTCCAATGCAACTTTAAAACATTTTAACTGCTCTTGGTGTCATTCAAAAGCAAAACACGGTGGACCTTTCTGCTCTGATCAAGCTGGGTAAGATTCTATACTTCTTTGCGTCAGTGAAGAATTCTAAATCAAAATCAGTAAAGGAAAATGTGTAATATAATGTATTTCAAGATTACATAGACGTCGACAACACTGGATTGAAGGAAACTGTAAGGATAATGGTAAAGTAACTTACTGCAGTGCAGATGAAGATTTCAACGAAGTGGATGACGAAGATGACATTCAAGATGCATCTGGTAATTTTTAAACAGATCATAAATGACCTTCTGTAGATTATGATCGAACTTAATAGCTGTAATTAACTGTTGCAACTTTAGCATTTCTCAAAATTGTCATATGCATCTTTCATAGCATCTACTGTATTGATTTTCTAGCATTTAAATGTTTTTTTTTTTTTTTTTTTGTATAAAATCACAAAATTTCCTTGTTGAACAAAAGTAAGTAGATTTTTTAGTTTACGAGATTGCACATTCCTCCGTTTAGCTTATATATATTTGTGTTAATAATTGTTATACAAATATACTATAACTTAGGAATATTACTTTTCGTAACTAACAAAAAAAATCAGTTATAATCTTAATAAGTAAAACTGCAGTTTTTAATAAAAGTCGCAGAAATCGCAAAACAATGTGTACCATTTGCAGGAAAAACACGAGTAACGGCATCACCGTCAGAACCGGATGAAGTGGTTGCTTGGGATCGTGAAAAGAAAATTAAAGTTCCAGAAGTAGCCAAAGATAGCCAAGGTGATTTTACAAATATTTGCTATTTTCGATTCATCGTAATCGAAATGCTGTAAATAAGTTAATATAGTTATATCTCATACTAGCAGCATTTACGATGAAATTAAATCAATTTATAGATGTATTAGGTCGGTCTAATAGCGGATTTGTGTCGATATTTATTGTCGTTGTTGGTGTTATAATGCTAGCAAGTTGGGCCTCATACGCATATTTCAATCCTCATACTCCATCGGGCCAATTACTGATAAGGGTAATTTTTGACTTTTTCTTTAAAAAAAATACTCATAAAGATGATAGCAAGAATATATATATTAATTTTTATTTTATAAGTGAATTTTATAGGTCAAAAATAGGTCAATTTAGTTGTGAGAAGCCTATGGCTGATGCTATTCAAAATTCCTCTTTCATTTTTTTAAATCTTTCAGTTCATTTTTCAAATTGTTTCAGTATCGTCCTTCGAGGTGGCATATGCCATCAAGTCATGTTCGATATAGTGCTTCAGTACACATGTAAGCAGTGGAAATAACTCAAGGAATTTTTATTTTCAAACAGTAGGTATGCACGTCAGTATTGAATCTCAGTGTTTGCTTGTCATTGACTATATGCATATTTGAACTGGATTTTTCATCTCGTGTTGTTTTTTTTTTTTTTTTTTTAATCTCTCATTCAATTATTTTTATCCAGAGTTTAGTATCACAGATTTTTTTATAATATTATTAATTTTTGTTTAGGCTTTGTGATAAAAATACGAAACGAAAAAGTTAAAAATATCATACATTATAAAATTTGGATTAAAGCATCCAGATATTCGACTTTGGTCAATCCCAAGGGCGTCATTCGTTTGTTTTCAAAAAAAAAAAAAAAAAAAAAATTTTTTTTTCTTTACAAATGGTTTTAATTATTCTGGTTTTGTCGTGCAGCTAGCAATAATGCATTGTTCTTTCAAGCCCTGTCTTTGATATGTGTTTTATTATCCGATCATGGTTATTGTTCGGTATATTTCCTCTAATTTATCCTTCTGTAGACAGATGTTCTCTTCTTCACTATATTATTTATTACTTAGGTGTGCACGAAATTACAATGATTTAATTTACATTCAATGGAAAATAACAGCTCGTTGGATTTTTTCTTTTTTTGAAATGACTAGATTTTTTTTTAAAAATTTACTTTAAATAGTCCTTCAATTATGAAACAGCAATTTCTTCTCAGTATTTTCTACATCATTTATTGCAGTACTGGTCCGTAATTGAGCTATTTTGTAGGCTACTAACTGTAAATTGCTTGACTTATTATATGATTTATAAATTTAAGATTAAACTCATTATTTATAATTTTTTATTTTATGTCTGTAGATTTCAGAACATTATCAGTCTTTTTTTATTATATAATTTTTTTTTTTTTGTTCAACTTGAAATATCAGGATTTTTTTTCAAACATTGTTGTAGTAGCGCAGCTATATATCGGACACTAAGCTCACAACGGAGACTTAGATTTAACTGTCTCATTCACTTTATCTGTTGTTAGTTCACCAATGCTTGTAATTGAAAATACGAAATTTCAAAACTGGTAGAATATGATGTGTACAGTGCTTCGCTTTGTTTTATCATTTTGTAACCATATTTTTTTTCGGACTGTGTTTATCCGAAAAGAAAAAAAAAAATAGTTATCATATTTGATTCTTGTTTTTCATAACCTGCAAGGAAAAAAAATTGCAAATTTGTTATTCGTTGTTGTATTTGTACACTTTATATTTTAACATCTATTTTATTAATTTATTTTCACTGCAGCAGATCACTTTTTACTATCCAACAATTATCAAAAATTTGCGACTCTATAAATGGAGAACAAAATTATTCGAAAAATATTTTTTCAAAAAAAAAAAACGTTTGTTCCTTTTTATGATACTAAAAATAACTTTAATCACTATGATATTAATAATGAAAACATGCGTTTAGCTAATTATGGCTAACCCTTAAAAAAACAATTTTTAACAGTATTTTTTTTTCAATAGGATTTCGTGGAGGTGTTACAATCAATGGATTTCATCCAAATTTAAAATTCAAAACCTAGTGAATTACTATCACATACATATCCTAAATCATATATACATTTTAAAGATTGTTAACACAAGCATATTATCAAATTAAAAATGGTATCACTTGTCCCCTAACAATGTTCTCATTTCATTTGATCCTTTACACACATAACATCGGCAGTAAATTTCGATTTCTCAACTTGATAAAAAACTCGTAAAAATAATTCCTAGCTTTAATTGTGGTATGAGATTAGTTTTCCAGTCGCAAGTTTAGTAAAACACCAAACTTTAGCAAAAAGTATTTTAAATTTTTGCAAGAAAAAATCCTATTTGTTAGCATAAACTTGCAGATCACAAAGCAACACCTCACATCCAATCAGATATAGAAAACTGGAAATTTCTAGACAGAAACCCGCTTTGCAACTTAAATTTCATTCAATTCCATTTTTAATCATACTTCCTTTGAATAAATTTCATATGTTTGCTATTCGAAATACTTCCATTATCATTTTTGATGTTATATATTATTTATCCACTGTAGGTCCCATCTTATAGGATTTTTTCAATTGAAAATTTTTGCTTATCATAGAAAAGAAAATATTTTGCGATATTGACTAAAAAACAAATTCACTTGCTTATGAAATGTATATATGCCATAAATCTCATCCGTTAAACACTATGAACAAAATTGTGAAGCCAGAAATGATCGATAACAGTGATGTGAAGATGACAACTTTATAATGTACTGGCCATGAGGAGTAAGTCTATACTCAGATTTACTTTTTTCATGATGAAATCATTCTAAAATGTTTGAATTTCAATAACATATATATGTAGTTATACGATGCATAAATAAAATTTGAAAGCATAATGAATATTTGGATAACAATTTATAAAGAGATTTAAAAGTAATATTTAACAAAATATTTAGGAAAAGGTGAGCAAGCTTTTGACGACACTTTAAACAATCAATAAAAAGTTCATATAACTGCAAAACCAGCTGGTCCTTTACGCTGGCTTAAAATATTTTCTAGTGTTTTGGGAAATATACTCATCACTTTGAATCGCTCACCCATACCTTTTTCACTCAATAATATTTCACATGATTTGAGCAAATTTTGTTTATCCTCTTCTGTTTTACAACATGCCAAAAGCCTTTGCAGTCTTAATCCAATTCCCATTTGAGTAAAAAATTCTCTAAAATTATTGACAATCACATTAATGACTGTAATGAATTTCATATAAATGTTCCTATTTTCGTAATGATGAAACACTGATTAAATGTTCCACTCGCTGCGGTGAGTACAAAAGAATAAACGAAATGAAGAATGAGACTAGACGATTCTAATTACTCTTTAATATAACAGTTGAAAATGCCACTGAAGAAGAAAGAGAAAAAGAGAAAACTTTGAACGATAACATACCGCTGTTCAATTGGTCCAAAAACCAATGTTCGGTCTTCTACAAGACTTTTCAAATATCCAAAATTGACATCGGCAGTTATATCATGTTCTCCAGGATTTTCCAAAGGATGTACAATCTGATGACCTTTGTAAGCTCGCAAGGACAAATCTTTTCTTGTACCATTATGTCCATAATCTACTATCAATACAAAACCACCAAATTTCGTAATACTATCAGTAACCTAAAGCTATTAAAAAATAAATTCAATAATGGAAAATAGTTATAGCAATTGTTGACAATAATCTACCTGATTAACATAAGTACCAGCATCAATGCTAATCTCCCATTCTTTGATTGATAAATCTTCACGAATTTTTTTCGGTAATAAACCACTGCAATATGATCAATATAGTTCATATAAAAGTGCATAAAAAAAGATTTGTTTCAAAACTTTGAATGGAAAGAAAGAAATTTTGAGTAAAACTTGCAATTTTTCGAAATAAATCTTGAATAATTTCCAATAAAATTGAACGCATGTATGCGTTTAAATAAAGCTTTTAAATAAATTTTCAAAGTTTGTTTTTAAATAAGTTTTCAAACATTTTTTTTTAAGTTTTAAATTTTTCGAAATAAATCTTGAAATAAACTCTTAAATAAAGTTTTTACATGTTTTTTAAAGTTTTTGAAAAAATTTTGGGATTCTTTTTTTGAATACTTACAACGTATGCAAGTTTTCGGATTTCGACAGCATAAAACAAAGTTTGTCGTCCTTATTCAAATTTACATATACTTCATGCCATTTGCCCTCGTCATCTCTTTTAAATTGATTTACTGGTAATGCATCCAAAAATTCGTTGCTTATGAATATAGAAAACTGAAAAAGTTATTTAATACAACTTTTCATTCAATTTTGGCAATACGTTCAACTTAAATTCCATATAAATAATAGCTGACAAGAACGTACTTGAGCAGGAATGTCATCAACATTACGATACCAGTATATCGGAAAACCATTTTTTGTCACATTGCACCGAACATAAGATTTTCCATCAATGAACTGCGATGGATGTTCACAAAGCAGAGATTCTTGTTGATCCAACAAAGCATCAGATGTTTCAACAAGATGAACAGATCCTTTCGTTACCTAAAACAAACATATTATCAGCGGATATTAACAAAAAATTAAACAATGGAAAGAGCTAATAAGAAAGAAAGCAGACTTTAAGTCGTCTCAAAGTTCGTGTGATATCAGACATCAGCTGTCCTGTACCAGGACCATTTTCCACTAACTGCCATTCTTCACTGTGCCCTGAAAGCACCTGAAATAATACTAAATAGAGCAGTTGCAATTCATTAAAATATAACAGACTTCCATTTTGAAAAATCACCAGTAGTTCATAGTTAATAAAGACACATTGCTATGCTTCAAATAGTTACAACAACTCAGTAATATATTTCAGACAGAAACGTTGTAATATTCTCATAGACCAAGCAGACAAAAATAAACTGAAGACAAAAAATACTAAATATCAATAAAACTCAACTATTATTTTACAATCATTCTTTAAAGTACAAGAAACAGTACCAGTATTAATGAGTTCGTAGTAGCACCATATACCAATAAGCTCACCGAACATTTGTGTTAGCTCGGGAGCCGTGATAAAGTCACCTTTCTCACCAAATATTTTACTACCATGACGCGAATAATAGCCACCAATAGGTGATGAAGCTGTTAAACGCATATATTCAGCAACACTCATTGGTCCATTCAGATTAATTTTCTGCTGCAAATAGTAGAATAATTAAAAACTGTTCAAAAATTTAAGAAATATAAGCATCTAATGACAATTAATAATTGAGGCCCATAAAAATAATAAATGAAGTTTGGGATAATTTGTGTTGTAACAGTTTATGTTTTTCGCTGTTTAATATACTATCATGTACCACATTACTCAGATTTGTAAAATTCGTATACAATATTATGATGAACTTTCGATATAATATGCTTATATGAAAGCATCTAAAATATGGCAATTTACTATACCTTAATAAAATGTAGTAATTGATCAGAATA